GCTATACCACCTGATTCACACTTCCTGCTTAGTATTGTTTTTGCTATTCTGGGTCTTTTATTCTTCCATATGAATTTCATGATTGCTTTCTCTATTTCTACAAGAAATGCCGTTGGGATTTTGATTGGCATTGCCAGCTGACCATTTTGTAGGTGTTTTTTTTTTCCCCCCTGTGAATGTATTTAAGATTTTTCTCCTCTTTGGTTTTCTGCAGATTCACCATCACCTGTTTGTGTTTGGATTTCTTTTTATTTATACCAGTCATTTTGTGGGTGTCCTGAATCTGTAGTTTGGTATCTGTCTTTTCAAATATTGCTTCTGCACACCCTCCCTCCAGTTATAAACTTGTTAGGCTCCTGCTTTCTCGGTTTCCATCTCTGCGAATCACTATCACTGGCTTTCCTTTCTTTGTCTATCACTATAGCAAACTACACTGCTAGATTTTCCAGTGTTGAGCCAACCCGTCACTCCTGAGAGGACTCTCAATTGGTCATTATGTAACATCTTCTTTATATGTTGCTGTGTGCGCTGGGTTTGCTAAACTCACCAAAGGCTTCTGTGCGCATTACAAATATTGCTTGGGGTTTGCCTTTATTATAACATCTTTTGTCTGGTCTTCCTATAGGGCTAGTCCTCAAAAAATAATTAGAAAAATTTCCTCCCCATCTATTTTCTGAAAAAGATTTTTGTCAGATTAGTATTCTTTTCTTCTTAAATATTTAGTACAATTTTCCAACAAAACCATTTGGACCTAAAATTTTCTGTGATATATTTTATTAACAAATTCAACTTCTTAAAAAATATAGAAACTTATAGGTTGTATATCTCTTCTTGAGTGAGCTTTGACAACTGTGTTCATTAAAGTTGTTAAGATTTTATCAACATGAAAGTATTCACAATATTCTCTCTCTTTCTTTGGCGGGCAGGCGCGCGGGGTACAGGGATTGAACCTAGGATAAGCCACATCCCCAGCCCTTTTTATTTTTTGAGACAGGTCTCTGTAAGCTGCTCAGGGACTTGTTAATTTGCAGAGTTTGGCCTTGACCTTAGGATCCTCTTGCCTCCGCGTCCTGTGTCACGGGGATTACAGGTGTGTACCACCACAGCTGCTGGTTTTCTGTTCACTCTAGGTTTGTTGTTTTTTTTTTTAATATTTATTTTTTAGTTGTAGTTGGACATAATACCTTTATTTTATTTTTTTTATTTTCATGTGGTGCTGAAGATGGCCTTGCACGTGCTAGGTAAGTACTCTACCACTGAGCCACAACCCCAGCCCCCAACTCTAAGATTTTTAAGCTTCATAATTGACAGTTTTCAGGAACTATGGATATTTTAAGCCATTATTTCTTAAAATATTATCTCTATTCTCTCCTCCTCTCTCTCTGGGCATTCAGTTACCCTAATTTTTGGGGGGAGGGGGCAGCAGAGGGAGTACTGGTGATTGAACTCAGGGGCACTCAACCACTGAGCCACATCCCCAGCTCTTCTTTGTATTTTATTTAGAGGCAGGGTTTCACTGAGTTGCTAAGTGCTTTGCCGTTGCTRAGGTTGGCTTTGAACTCTCGATCCTCCTGTCTCAGCCTCCCGAGCCGCTGGGATTACAGGTGTGCACCTGGATGGTTATCYTATCTTAGACTAACTGATTTTGTCCCACAGGTCAAAGCTCAATATTTCACACAGTCTTCTCTATGCTTTATTTTGGGTAGTTTCTATTGCTATGTCTTGATGTTCACTCACTAATTTTTTCTTCTTTAGTACTAATCTGCTGTCCATCTCTCTATTGCATTTTTCCTTTCATATACTGCATTTTCACGTCTAGAAATTCTATTTCAGTATTTCTACAGCTTTCATTTTATTCATCATTATGTTCATATTTTCCTCTACATTTTAAACATCTGCAACATAGTTATCTTGGTTCAATTCCATGCCTGGGAAGATTTTATTAGATGCTGAACACTGAATCTTTTTTTTTTTTTTTTTTTTTTTTTTTTAGTTGAAGATAGACACAAACCTTTATTTTATTTGTTTTTATTTTTATGTGGTGCCAGGGATTGAACCCAGTGCTTTATGCATGTGCTCTATCACTGAACCACAATCCTGGCCCAATCTTACTGTTTTTGTTTTTGTTGTTGTTGTTTTGTGGAGCTGGGGTTGGAATCTGGGGCCTGCACATGTTAGGCAAAGGCTCTACTACTGAGCTCCAGCTGTACCTCCATCTCTAGTGTCATGAGAATTTATTAGGGTACTTTGGGCACAAAGTGTTTTTGTTTTGCATTTTACAGTGCTAAGCACTGAACCCAGGCCTCCCGCACAGTGAGCATGCACTCTGCCACAGCCCTTTTTGTACCTTTTATGTATAGCTTRGGCTTTGTTCTGGGAATGTAGATATGTCACTTGGATTCAGGACAAACTGTACTGACTCCAGACTATTAGTTTAGGGCTAATTCTGCCCTATTACTGAGGTCATACCCTCTGAGCAATCTACTTAATGCCCTCAATGAAAAGTTATCCTGAACCCTCCCAAATTAAAATGAAGATAAATCTTAGAAGGATCTAACTGATTACCACCCTGGACACTGAATATTTTTAGTGCAAACTTTTGGGCAGTAGAGCAAAATTATTCCCAGCCCTGTCTGATATTCTAGAGTTATTCAGTCTATTCCTTTCTGACAGTACTTTTCCTGATTTGAAGTGTGTTCTTTGTATATACATTGATACATTCCCAAACCTCAGGGAGTCCTGCAGACCTCTGGGCTGTTCTGAGCAGCTTCCTCTTCTCCTTTACTTTGCGCCATGAATTCTAGCTATCTTGGGTTTCCCAAACTCTGCTTGGTTTCATCAGGTCAGTGGACCTGCCCTGAAATGCCCTGAATTATCAGGTCACAACAACCTTCCCCTCAGCCAGGGTTGGCAAGCACCATCTGAGGGTCAGACCCAACCGGTACCACTGTTGTAACAAAGTTCTGCTGGACAGATCTACCCCGTCCACTTGCACACATGGTGTGAAAGGAACCACAGATGATGCAGAACAGCTGTGACAGAAACCCARGGCCTACAGATCTAAAGCGCTAACCTTATGGCCCTGTGCAGACAAGTGTGCASATTCCTACTCTGGGAAGAACCTGGAACACGACAGGCTCATTCATTGCTTTCTCTACTTCAGGGAACATGGCCCTGACCTGCCTGCTGTTTAGGTCTGGAATCACTTGCTATATATTATTCTGTCTGGTTTCCAAGTCATTCAAGATGGGAATCAGGTTGGAGATTAGAGTGTGACTTACCTCAGGAACAAAGTGTAAGAGAGTGTCAAAAATTCAGTAACAGAGATAAAATAAAAATTAATGAAAAAAACCCAGGAGAAACAAAATACCAAAATTATATATAAAGATAGTACCAGAGGGGCTGGGGTTGTGGCTCAGTGGTAGAGCACTCATCTAGCATGTGCGAAGCCCTGGGTTCGATCCTCAGCACCACATAAAAATAAATAAATAAAATAAAGGTATTGTGTCCAACTACAACTAAAAAATAAAAATATTAAAAAAATTTTGTTTTGTTTTGTTTTTAGTTGTAGATGAACACAATATATTTATTTTTATGTGGTAATGAGGATCGAACCAGTGCTTTAAAGTGCCAGGCCAGGCAAGCGCTCTATCATGAGCTACAACCCCACCCCATCCTGTTTTTATTTAAAATTTGTTTTTGTTTTGTTTGTCATAGATCTCTGCATTAAGCTTGGCTGTTTAAAAATAGTGCATTAAAATATTGCTAATCTCAATTACCAAGATTTTGGTACTCCCTGAATTCTTCACTATTTGCTTCATGTTAGTCCTGGTGGGACACAAATCTGGCCTGTTATTCTGCAATCCTTAATGTATGTCAGATGGATGTAAATTAGTAAACAAAAGCACTCTGCAGATAGGAAAGTACTAAAAGGACAAAAATCTTGTAATTGTAAATAAAGATATGCAAAGACTGTGACAGAAGGGCAGCGTAGTCACCAAGCCCTTGGTGGTGCACGCACACTCCCAGCACCTGGTGGGCCAGCAAGAGCCCGCTGCAACAGCACCAGGTCAACTCAGCCACGGTCAAAGCAGGCGTCCCACCGCCAACACAGTCAGCAAACTTCCTCTAAGTTTTGCAGGACAGCCATCCTTCTGAAATCACCTGCTCATTTTTTTTTTTTTTTTAAAGAGAGAGTGAGAGAGGGAGAGAGAAAGAGAGAGAGAGAGAGAGAATTTTAATATTTATTTTTTAGTTCTCGGCGGACACAACATCTTTGTTGGTATGTGGTGCTGAGAATCGAACCCGGGCCGCACGCGTGCCAGGTGAGCGCGCTACCGCTTGAGCCACATCCCCAGCCCCCCCTGCTCATTTTCAATCCTATCTAATAAATGTGACAGAAAAGCACTTGGCAGACAAAAGCACGTTGTCATCTATCTGAGAATCAAAAAACTTTTACATAAAAGCCAATTTCTGTATATTCTCTACATCATCTATTTCATTTTCTAAGGCATGGTTGCAAGAAAATGTTTTTAAGGGACTGGGGCTGTACCTCAGTGGTAGAGCCCCACTTACTTAACAAGTGTGGGGCACTGGGTTCGATCCTCAGTACCACATAAAAATAAATAAAATAAAAAGTTCCCAAGGCAGAGCCGGTCCACCCGACGGCCCCAAGCCACTGCAGCCTAGAGTTCCAGAGACAAAGCCACCCCACACCAACACGGAGAACCACCCCGCACTGGGATTATTATTCACGGAAGCCTGGCTCCACGGCCTAACATCAGGAAACATATAGGCTTGAGGCTGCCACCACCAAGAAACTGGGATACCACCACTTCTATCAAGAGACAACAATGAGGACCTGGTAAGACGTCACCAGTTCCTGTGGCCTGGCTGCACCAAAGGTTTCTCTACTAGGACTGCTAACAATTATCCTGTTGCTAAGGTAACAGGGAGTCTTGCATAGGGTTGCCTATCTCTTGTTTCTCCTACTAACAGCCAACTTCCTATGATTATCCCTCTCACTAGTCATATAATCTAATACTTCCATATTCTCACATTCTACCTCATAAACATCTCAGCCAACTGCCCAGTCCACCTTTGACCATCAGAAACTGTTAATCATTACACAAACCTATTGATTATATGGTTGAAGATAATCAAACTCATCACTTCAGTTTATAGTGACAAAACTGTAAATGTAAAAATAGAAGCTAACTGATGTATGGCTGCACGTTGGGCACACTGAGTGCTATAATATTGATCTCTCCCTTAAAAGTGAGGTATTGGTAACCTGTAGGCACACTATAAGACAATAGGGCAGAAGCTGTAATACMTCGGATCTATACTGCAAGAGAGGAAGACACATAGACATCATGAAAAAACAAGAGAGGAGACTGCCCCAAACAAACCAAGACATTACAACAATAGATCCAAAAATAGTGAASTAGGTGACATGTCAGAGAAGGAGTTCAGAATATACATAACTAAAAGGATTGGGAATTTTAAAAATGACCTAAATGAGCAGATACAGATAAAAATTGATCACTCCAACAAGAGTGATAAGAGAACAAATACAGGTTGCAAGAAATTATTTCAAGAAAGAAATACAGATACTGAAACAAACAAAACAAACAAATCAGAAATCCTTGAAATGAAAGAAACAATAAGCCAATTAAAAAACTCAATAGATAGCATCACCAATAGACTAGATCACTTGGAAGACAGAACCTCAGACAATGAAGACAAAATATACAGTCTTGAAAATAAACTTGACCTCACAGTGAAGATGGTAAGAAATCACAAACAGAACATCCAAGAATCATGGAATACCATCAAAAGACCAAATTTAAGATTTATTGGGATAGAAGGTTCAGAGATTCAAACCAAAGGAATGCATACTCTCTTCAATGAAATAATATCAGAAAAATTCCCAGGCATGAAGAACAAATTGGAAAATCAAATACAAGAGGCCTATAGGACACCAAAAGTACAAAATTACAACAGACCTACACCAAGACACATTATAATGAAAATGCTTAGCATACAGAATAAGGATAGAGTTTAAAAGGCCACAAGAGAGAAAAATCAGATTACCTATAAGGGAAGGCCAATTCAAATCTCAGCAAATTTTTCAACCCAGACTCTCAAAGCTAGGAGATCCTGGAACAACATACACCAAGCTCTAAAAAGATAATGCCAACCAAAAATCTTATATGCAGCAAAATTAAGCTTCAAATTTAATGATGAAATAAAAACCTCCCATGATTAAAAAAAAAAGATAAAAGAATTCAGAGCAAGAAAACCTGCACTACAGAATATTCTTGGCAAAATATTCCATGAGGAGGAAATGAAAAACAACAATGATAATCTACAAAGGGAAGAACTACAATAAAAAAAAAAAGCCAACCAAAGGAGAAACCAAGTCAAGCTAAATACCAAAAAAAAAAAAAAAAACCCCCACCGGTAATTCAAATCATATCTTAATAATAACCCTAAATGTTAATGGCTTAAATTCACCAATCAAAAGACACAGACTGGTAGACTGAATTTGGGGGCGGAAAAAAAAGGACCCAACAATATGCTGCCTTCAAAAGACTCATCTCATGGGAAAAGACACCCACAGACTGAAGGTGAAAGGTTGGGATAAAATATACCCAATTCACATGACCTATGTAAGCAAGCAGGGGTTTCCATCCTCATATCAAATAAAGTAGACATCAAGCAAAAGTTAATCAAAAGAGATAAAGATGGCCATTTCATACTGCTTAAGGGAACCATACATCAACAAGACATAAAAGTTACAAAGAAACTATAGAACTCAATAATACAATCAATAACTTAGACTTAACTGACATACAGAGAGTATATCAACCATCACCGAATGAATGTACTTTCTTCTCAGCAGCACATGGCTCCTTCTCTAAAATAGACCATATTATGCCACAAAGAAACTCTTAGTAAATACAGAAAAGCAGAGATACTATTCTGCATTCTATCAGACCACATGGAATGAAATTAGAAATCAATGATAAAAAAAAAAAAAACCGCTACTCTAACACCTGGAGACTGAATAATATGTTATTGAATGAACAATGGGTTCCAAAAGATATCAAATTTAAAAATTCCTGGAAGTAAAGGAGAACACTGATACAACATATCAAAAATCTCTGGGACACTATGAAGGCAGTACTAAGAGGAGAGTTCATTGCATTGAGTTCATTCCTTCAAAGAAGAAAAAGTCAACAAACAAACAACCTAACAATTACATCTCAAAGCCCTAGAAAGAGAATAACAAATCAACCCAAAAGCAGTAGGAGACAGGAAATAATTAAAATTAGAGCTGAAATCAATGAAACTGAAACAAAAGAAACAATTGAAAAAATTGACAAAATAAAAAGTTGGTTCTTTGAAAAATTAATATAATTGATAAACCATTAGCCATGCTAACGAAGAGAAGGAGAGAGAAAACTCAAATTACTAACATCTGTGATGAAAAAGGAAATATTACAAYGGACACTACAGAAATACAGAAGATAATTAGAAATTATTTTTGAAAATCTATACTTCAATAAAACAGAAAATATCAAAGACATCGACAAATTTCTAGAGGCATATGATATGCCTAAACTAAATCAAGATGATATACACAATTTCAAGCAAGGAAATAGAGGATGCCATCAGAAGTCTACCAACCAAGAAAAGCCCAGAACCAGATGGATACACAAATGAGTTCTACAAGTCCTTTAAAGAACTAACACCAAGGGGCTGGGGTTGTGGCTCAGTGGTAGAGCACACGCCTAGCATGTACAAGGGTTTGATCTTCAGTACCACGTAAAAATCAGTAAATAAAATAAAGGTATTGTGTTCAACTACAACTAAAAAATAAATATTAAAAAACAACAAGGGGGCTGGAGATGTGGCTCAAGCGGTATCGTGCTCGCCTGGCATGTGTGCGGCCCGGGTTTGATCCTCAGCACCACATACAAACAAAGATGTTGTGTCCACCGATAACTAACAAATAAATACTAAAAAAATTTAAAAAAGAAAAAACAAGTATGGAACTTTTAAAAAAAACAACTAACACCAATACTTCTCAAATTATTTCATGAAATAGGAAAAAAAGGGAACACTTCTAACACATTCTATGAGGCCAATATCACCCTGATTCCAAAACCAGACAAAGACACATCAAAGAAAGAAAACTTCAGGCAAATATCTTTAATGAATATAGAAACAAAAATTCTCAATAAAATTCTGGCAAATTGAATACAAAAGCATATCAAAAAGATAGTACATCACGATCAAGTAGGTTTCATCCCAGGAATGCAAGGTTGGTTCAACATACAGAAATCAATAAATGTAATTCATCACATCAACAGACTCAAAGATAAAAAACATATGATCATCTCAATAGATGCTGAGAAAGCATTTGATAAAATACAGCATCCCTTCATGTTCAAAACTATGGATAACAGGAACATACCTCAACATTGTAAAGATTATCTATGCCAAGTCCCAGGCCAACATCATTCTAAATGGAGAAAAATTGAAATCATTCCCTCTGAAAACTGGAACGAGACAGGGATGCCCTCTGTCACCACTTCGATTTAACATAGTTCTTGAAACTCTAGCCAGAGCAATCAAACAGACAAAAGAAATTAAAGGGATATGGAAAGGAAAAGAAGAACTCAAATTATCACTATTTGCAGACAACATGATTCTATACCTAGAAGACCCAAACATTCCAYCAAAATTCTCCTAGAACTAATAAATGAATTCAGCAAAGTAGCTGGATATAAAATCAAAAGGCTTCTTCTCAGCAAACAAACAAACAAAAAACAATCAGTGAGGTGAACAGAGAGCCTACAGAATGGGAGCAAATCTTTACCACAAGCACATCAGATACAGCACTAATCTCTAGGATATATAAAGCACTCAAAAGCCTTAACACCAGAAAAACAAACAACCTGATCAATAAATGGGCCAAGGAACTGAACATAGACACTTCTCAGAAGAGGATATACAATCAACAAACATATGAAAAAATGTTCAACATCTCTAGCAATTAGAGAAATGAAAATCAAAACTAAGATTTCATCTCACTCCAGTCAGAATGGCAGCTATTAAGAATACAAGTAATAATACAAACACAACAATAGTGT